AGATATAGTTTGACAAAAACTTCTTTGGTTGTAGCCAAAGTTACTTTTTCAATAACTTCATAGACTTCTACCGGAGAGCCAAACCCACAAGGAGCTGTCTTTTTCAACTCTTTTTCATATGGCTCACATGCAATCTGAAACTCTTGAACCCAGATGCTATATGGCAAAGTTTTGTTGTATATAAACATACTAACTATATAATTTTCATAGATTAGTATATGTGAAAAAATTGATGCAGAGAATTATCGAAAAGAGTATGCTTGTGATTCTAATTAAGTTAAAATCTAATTAAAAGATATTAAAAAAGACAGTTTTCAACTAAGTGATTAAAAAGTAGTATCAAATTATTATAAATTAAAAATAAAAATCTAATAAAAAAACTGTACAAAATAAATTTAAGAAATATAGAACTATTTAGCATTATGCTCTAACTTGTAGTAAGTAAATATGTAAAGTTATTATAAAAATGAAATAAAACATAATAACAATTAATTTATAGCATTAAATTAAATTTTTTTTTTAAAAAAAAATAGTAATATTTAAACAGAATAAGTTGAACTAATAAGTTAATATTAATAGAATTTAATTATTTATTATTAATTTTTAAATTTGTTATTAGTTATTTTATGTTTTTTAGTTTGTTTTAATAATAAAATACTTTTATTGATTCTAATTTTTCAGCATTTTTAATTTCAAAGTTTCTTTATTCTCAGTATATTAATATTAAATTATAATTAAACTTTATAATTTTTATTAAAAAATATTAAATTAAAAACTTTTATATAATAAATATTATAAAAATCTATATATAACTGATTAGGTTAAAATTAACTTTATTGATTTTTTTAATTATAACAAGAATTATTATAGTTAGTTTTTTTTCATATTTTTTTAAATTTTTAAATTATATACTGATCTTACAATTAGATTGTGTAGGATTATTAAATTTTGTATTATAATTTTTATTATATGATGCTGATTATATTTACTATATTCTATTCTAAATAAGCATTGCATCCTCTATCTTATTTTTTTAAATACTAGATTAGAAAAAATAATTTGGCTAAAGGTCTTATTATAATGTTTATTAATTTGATATTTAAAAAATTAAAATAAAAAAGTATGATACTTATTTATAATAGAATATTGTATATATATTTTTTTATCAGACTTGTAAAATTTATCTTTTTGATATAATTAATTTAAGTTACAGACTTTTACTTAGGCTAATACTTTTATATATGCAAATAGATATGTGAAGTAATGTATATTAAAGTTCAAATAGTACAAAAGAATAACTAGTATATTTGTTATTTATTGCAAATTGCATAAAATTTTAACAAATTTCTTCTAAGTTTAAAATGTTAAAGAATCTAATTATAAAATGACCAAGAAAAAGTAATAGTTCATCTTTGGCAGATGTCAGTATACATACTAAAACATAGAATTCATATTCGTGTTATGTATTATGTTTTAATAAAACATATGCTAACACTTGCAGAACCTTTTTAGATTTCAGAATAATTTAATTTTGTCAGTTTTAAAGATTGAATTTATTGATAAAATTTTTATTCAGATACTATTTGTTTATCTAAGTTATTTGAGTATAATGTAATTATTAAATATATATTAAAGTCTTATTGGTTACATTTTTACTATGTGCATGTGATATATCACTGTCACCATATCACCGTTGGTGACAAATCAGTGTTGGGCTGACCAGACCAATTCGACCATTTGACCAGACCAGTTTGACCAATGACCAGTCTGGTCAAGCATCTTTGACATTGGTCAAGTATTTGACCAATTTGACCAGACCAGTTTGACCAGAATCTCTTTGACCAATGACCAGCAAATTTATAGTCGACCACTAATTTGGCCAACACTGGTGACAAATAGATTTGCCCTATTTTGAATTATATGCCTAATTTTTTTAAAAAGACAAATTTCAAATTAATGTTCCAGCTCACTATTATGTGCAAATATAATATAGATGAACTACTTAAATTAGGTACCAAAAGTGCATGTGTGACTAGTTGTAACCTTCTATATAAAGAAAGCACTTGAAAGCTTTGTGTCTATAATAACTTGAATAAAAGTCACTTCTTGAAAACAGAAACTTTAATATAAAAAAAAATTTATTTTAAAAGTTTTCTTTATAACAAATTTAACTTTGTTAGAGTATTTTAATTTTTATGTTTAAAAAAAATACGATAAAAAAATTAATAATTGCTAAAAATAAATAATTAAATAAACTAATAATATAATAAATATTAATTAATTAATTTATATAAAATATTATATAAAAATAAATTTAACGAATAAAATAAAATATCTGTATTATATTGAAATTTCTTTGCTAATTAAAATTAATTGTTTTAATATATAAACTTTTTTATTAAATATGTTAAATAAATAAAAACAAATCATAAACTGCTTGAGTTAATAATATAGAATTTTTAAAAAACCTAATACAGACTTTATAACTGTAATTATCTAATTCTTTTCTTTGATTATTCTCTTTTATTTTTTATTTTTTTATTATTATCTTGTTTCAAGATTTTCTTTTCAAAAGAATGTTATCAGTTTGATAGTATTCAATTGTAAGACAATAAACAGGTAAAACCTTCAGATTATTCTGGTATGCCAAATTGATTTTAGATGTTCAAAAAAAAAATAGTCAAGAGATGTTTGCACTTGGTTATTAGACATTGTTATACTTAATTTTGTACTAGGTTATTAAATAAACACTAATAAAATCAATTAGCGTAACTGCCGAAGTAAAAACAAAATACATAGATGCACTGCTGGTAGTTTTCCATAAAAATAAATTAAGAAATTAAATTTTTACTTTAGTCGTTTGGCATTATATATATTTTAAATAATTTATTATATTAAATTTCCTGGTGCAGAAATAAAGTATTTTCTACGAACATCGATTAGACTTGACGTTACGATTTATTTTATTCATTATTATTGGTGACCATGACCCTGATTTTGTATGTACAGTAAACATATATGCTTGAGTGTTTAGCACCAATGATGTGAAACTGTAAAAATATCGAATCTATATATACTAATCAATCTAACAAATTTTTTTAAAAAATTATATTAAATTTCTATATATAAAATAAATCGTCACACATTATTAATAGATGAATAAGCTTTCATGTTTCATATTAGATTGATTTGATTTTTAATGTTAAAAATTGCGTCAAAATAAAATTACGATCTCAAGAATATTAGTATAACATCGATTAGTAAATAAAGCCGAATGAATTAATAACAACCCTGGAGTGAAATATAAGCAGGGCAAGAGTGGTGGTATCATTATGCATAATAATTACTTTAATCTTGCGCAGATACAGTAATAACGTTATATGATGTAAACATTTAATAACGATAACCATTACACATTGATTTATCAGTATTTATAGTTATGTACACATATCAGCATGGACAGCCGTAGGTTACGATCAGGTACCACATTAACATTCATCGTTATTCAAATCTTCAAAACTGGACATCAAGAGATAATAAGATTACTAAGGTAAGTAACTTTGAAAAGAAACAAAATAGTTCGATGATGTTAAAACTAATAACAACCTCAAGGGATTTCAATTTTTTGATGTGAAAAATCTTGTGAAAAATAATATATGACCTGGGAATACATCAGTTGTCATAAGATGAACTCTTCAATAAAACAATATGATTCATGTATCTATTTTTTATTTTTTTATTTTTTGCATTTGACTTGTACTTCATGTGGTTCGGTCAAGTAAACGTCGTTGTCTACAACATTTGAGATAACATTTGAGCCAATAATGAACAGCACACGGGTTCGCAAAATTTTTTGCTAAAACGTTCATTTCCTTTAATTTACTATTCGCTACTCTGTTCACATACTCTTAATTATTTAGCGTGTCAAAATAATAATAATAATAATAATAATAAATAAATCCTAATAGCTTTTACAATCAAAATTCAAAAAAGAGCGTTTACACTATAATGATAATTGTACCAATCTATCAAATTTTTAACAATTGGAAAGTGTTAAAAAAAATTTTTTTCGATAGATTTGTTTAAGATTTATTCTCTCCCTCCGTTTCCCCCGTTTTTAAAGTTATAAATTAAGTTTGAAAACGGTGAATAAGAGTGAGTTATTTTTTATTTTTTTTATTCATTGATGGTATATATATAGAAATACATGCCGCATTTTCGCACAGTTTCCCATCAAATCACATAACGACATTATAACGCCCACATTGGAGAATTATGAACCAATCCGAACAAAACCCTGTATTTCCCAAAATGAGAGCATTAAAAAAATTTTTTTTTGGTTTTTTTTTTTTAATGAATTCTTAAATGTGTATCCCTCACTTCTCCGACGCGTTATAATAGTTACAAAAGCATTTTGCCGTATTGAAAATCGATAATAGATATAAAGTATACATAATTAAAAGCAGGAATAAAAACAGTCTAGCAGAAAGTAATATGATATAAAATACAAAATAATTGTCTCAACAAATATAATGAAGTATGAAAAATAATACAATGTGTTGAAATCTTAGGTTGTTCTTTCTGCAAGAGAAAATTTTTCAAGTTATAAATTGAAATCGTTAAAAAAAAAAAAAAAAAATCTTTTGTTCCCCCGCCCGCGGGAGCCGTATGGACCCATTAGGTTCCCGCGGACGGGAGGGAACAGACTGATACATTCATCGGTTCTCTAAAAGTGGAAACACAAATCTACCAATAAATACAAATGCAATTTTATATAACAAAATACCCATGCGTGAAATGCTAGGCAGTGTTAGGAAACATGTAAATAAATTAGCAGATGACACAGCAGCAAACTGATTTTTCAACATAGCCATCGTCTTCAAGTTTTTTCTTTTTATTTTTCTTATCCTTCTTTCGCTTCTTTTTGTTATCTGAGCTTTTGGTTAAAGTTCTTTCAAGTTTCAAAGCAACAGGTGTGGCATTTGATTGAACTGGATGAATCATGATATTTTGTCCTTCGTTCCGTGCCGTTAACGAATTCTTTAAAAAGGAAAAAACAAATTAGATATAGAAAACCACTACGAACAATCATTATTATTATAACATACATTATTAATTCCTGTCAACGTCGTATTTTGTTCAATAGGCCCATTTTCTAGGACAAGTGGTTTTGGTGTAGTTGAAGTCGATGATTCGGAATGTGTTATTGGCTATTACAAAAGAAATTAAAAAGAAATTAATTACAAAGAGGGAATTATAAGGGAAATCATGTGAGAATAGCAATAAAAATTTAAGAACTTACCTCAATATTAACTTCATCTTCATCTTTAATCAACAACACGAATTCTTCTCTTCGTGATTTTCTATCACGTCTTCTAATGTCTTCGTTAAAAGGATAATCCTCCATTGGATAAGAAAACATTGTATCATCAGTTTGTACTTCAACGCTACTATATGTTTTACTATTCCTTCGAGAACTTGGACGAGATTTAGTTGAAATCCTTGTCGGCCTTCTCGGAGCAGATCGTCGACGACGTCGTTGATAACTTATAACTGACGAACGTTTTTTCGCATTCTTTAGTGAATCGTCTTCAACTTGATCGTCTACATCCTCAAAAAGATTTTCAACTTGATCGGTTATATCCATGTATCCTGATTCTGGTCTTGATCTTGGTGTAACATGTTCATCAAGTTCATCACTAATTCCTAGCAGAGCTTCATGATTAGAATAAGGTAATTGTCCATTCATTTTAAGTTTTTTTGCTAAAGTAGGTATGATTATGTCATCATGAGAAATTATAGTTTTTTTAGGAGGTTCATCATTTATTGAAGGATCAGGTTCAAGTTGATCTTGTAATTCTAATGAATAAGCAGTGATGATCGGGCGAGACTTTGAAATTCTTGGAGCACGGGTTGGTGAAATTTGTGAATCCGTAGAGGTTGACTTTGATTCTACTATTGGAAAATCATCCGATGATTGTGAGCTTCTTTCATTTGTAGCTTTTTTGAATGTTGACACAGTTGGAGTCTGTGTAGTCAGTGTTGTTATAATAACTGAATCATATATTAACGCATCACTAGATGGAGTTTGTGCAGTTATAGTAATTGATTCTGATGTTGACCCATCAGTAATTGGAGTTTGTGCAGTCATTGGGGTTATAGGATGACCTGTCTCTGAAGTTGAATCACTATTAGATGGAGTTTGTGTAATCATTGGAGTCATAGGAGGACTTCTCGGTGGAGTGGCAGGTGGAGTAGCTATACCCTTTACTATAAGATTATTATCGTCATCCTTATAATCATTCGTATTGATTTTTTTACTTTTATGAATACTTTTTAGAGTATTCTTCCTGGTAATTGATACTACCATCTCGGTAGTACCATTCAAATCCTTATTTGAATAAAGAGGTTGAATAGTATTTTCAGAGTTGATAATAACATTTTCCTTTTCACTACCACTTTCTTCAGGCAACGGGCGTTTTTTATTTGATTGATTATTCCGTACAGCTGAATCAAATGCTATAGTTGAGCTTGTACTCGTGGATGGATTATCATTATCCGTAAATGAGTCATTTTCGATCTTACCAGCAGTCACATGATCCAGTTTTTCAAATTCAGGGCCAACAGAATTCCAAGATTTTACTTTTGTAAGATTATCATTTGTATTGGACGAAGAGTTATTCGAATTATTCACGTCTTTTAATGTTTTTAATTGAGAACCATGAAAACTATCACCATTATTTTTGGTATATTGTTTATTTGGAGTTGAAGGTGATATTCGTGTATCAACGCTAGGTTTTTGTGGAGATAAGTTAACATTATTTGTCGAATATTCTGACATATTACCAGAGTTTCGAGGAATTTTATCACGTTTTCTGAAAGGGTCTGGTACGTTTCGTTCATGTGGGTTAAGGTCCGGATTTATCGGAACAGATTCAAATTCCTGTTTTGAATGATCAAAAGGTATTAATAATATTATATAATAATTATGAAAGAAGATAAACGTCTTTTTTTTTTTTTAACTACAAGTTGACCAGAACAAGAAACATTTACTCACCGAATCTGTCCCGTTGAAACGAATCTCGAAAGCAGGAGCAACTTTCCCCATTATCCTTTTCGACATCTGATATTATAGAACATTAAGAGTTTTGTAAAAAAGGGTTGTTTCGAATATATTTCCTTCAAAGACTGATTGTTCTTACGCTTCAAAGGATCACTTTATGTGCTAAGTGACGTTAAGTGACTTGAAGTAAAGGCTTGATTTGTAAGAATTAAAAAGATTCTTTTCGTTTCTTTCGTTTCTTTCGTTATTTTTTTTTTTTTTTCTTTTTTTTTGTTTTGTTGTATATATATATTTTTTTTCTTTCTTTTTTAAAGTTTCTTTTCGAAAACAAAAGAGACTATGATAGTGATAATGGCTGTGGTCGAGGTTAAAGTGTTTGTTGGTATATGTATGTGTTACTACCACTGATATTTAAATATTTTCTTTAACGAGTATTACAAAAATTGTTCGCTTTGTGGAATAACTGAAGGCTTTGGTACCAGCAGCCCGCTGCAAATCTCAATATAAATTTTTTTTCTTTTTTTGTGAAATAAAAAAAAAAAAAAAGAAAAAAAGTGTGGTAGTGAAAAGGAAAGTTATAAGGAAGAAAGAAAAAAAAGACAACACAACTAAAAAATTCGTAAAAAAGAAACAACACGAGGAAAAAAAAATGGACCAAACGAATTAAGGATTTATTATCACAGGTTACAATAATCACAGTCTAAAAAAAAAAATTTTTTCTCGCAAGAGACTTTTTCTACTATGTCACAGATTATCCACTATATATTTTTTTTAGTTTATCACACATGATATATTTGATATATTTGTGAGCGAATAATTAAATAATGAAGAAGTTGAATAACGAATATGCAGTGCAAACCAAAAATCAACAACTTACATATATCTTATCCGTGAATATTTCCGGCCGGCGCATATATACAATAATTTTCGCGTTTTTTTATATATTTATATTAAAATAAATACAAAAATAAATAGTTATGTTATTATTACAGTATTTAGTAAAAAAAGTGACAATAAAAAAATCCCGCCAGAATCCACAAAGAAAATAACCATGCGATATTACGTGTACTAAATTATTATTTAGGCCGGACGTTCGTTTAATTGTGTAACGGTTGAGAGGAAATGCAAGACGGGAATAGGTCATGTTCAGGTAACATAATCCTCTTTGGAAATCTTGAAGTATAAATCTGTAATATTATACCTAATATACTTTTTTAGTTACCAAATGTAGCATTTATTCTTTATACCGATACTGGTACATAGACGAAGTCATCTGCAGGGCTTAAAAAGTCAACAGTCATCTTTTATTCGTTCACGTGGTACCAAAGAGAATGACTCTATTTTTATCCTAACCATTAAAGAGATTTATTAGCCTCATCACTAAATGGCTAAATGCATTCACAAGCCCCCGAAATTTTATGCTGCGTAGAGATTATTTTTATTAATGCTAGTTAAGTTTATCGTTATCGTTGGTTAATTAAGTTTTTAATGAAGATCGAGATAATTATATTGACTAAAAAAGGAGATGATAATGTTCTTAAAGAAGTATAGATCAAATAAATATAATTTCTTCCTGGGAAAAAAAAAAACAATGAATCTTTGCTATTGGCTTCTCATTAACTCTTTCCCTCCTTTTTTTTTGGAAGCTACTTTACTTAGAAACATTTTCGTGAAACCATTTTATGCAGGACACAAAATGGTACTTGGTAACTATAACGATAATGCGAACGCCTTTTAAAGGTCAGATGACTAGAAGGAGATCTGGGTTATTAATGCGGATTACCAAAAGTGATAACCATTTATAGGATAAAAGGAAGTTTATCGTATTAAAATTGCAGTTTGTGCATAGAAAGGTCTTTATAAAAAACGACAGAGGTAAAAGAGCCGCCCGATGTTCCCGATGTTAGGCGTAAGTCTTTATAATCTGTATCTGTTATGTGCTTGTTTCATATAGTGGCGAAGTTTCAAGTTATTAATGTTATTGCGCCTTTTTTCTAACTACGTATTCAAACGTTAAACGTTTACTACGCCTTTCTTAGATTATTAATCCCATTGTTTTACCATTTTGGCACTAACCTTTAACGTTAATTTACGTTAAATATTAACACCAATAAAAATAATTTTTTTTACGGAGTACACCTTTGAGCTTGTATGCGTTGATCTGGTTATCACAACTTATCACAATAGTTTTAGGTCAAACAAAAAAAAAAAAAAATAAGCTCTAATATAGTATAAATACCCTAACTAAAAACGATTTTCCCTTGTTTATGTGCGTTAAGGTGAACATAGATTTGTAATGTCATAGATCGACCCAATCATTAAACCTTTTATCCGATTTATTTATGGTTTGTTATTTTTCGCCTTTTTGTGCCGCGTTGTACCTGTCAAAACATTATAAAGATAGAATAATTATATATTTGAAAGGTTCTTATTGGTTACATATTACCTATACGTTCCGCCTTAATCCTAATACTAATGATAAGTCTTAGAGATGTTACGTATTCATTAACGTTAATATGGTAATTCCGAAAGATTCATAACAATAATGAAAATGAAAATGACATAGGATCAAGTTGATTAAGGAAGTTGATTAATAAAGTTGATCAAGGATTGGTTAGATTGATATAATATGGGGTATAAATCCTTTGTTTTCCATTTTTTGGACTTACCTTTTATTATTATAGATTGTATTTAATTCTTACTATGTAAAGTCTCATCAAATGATGCTTTCAAATGATGTTTTGATCGAGATTAACTCTATACGCCTTTGTGCGTACATTTGTAATAATATGCAATAAAAATAAAAAAAATAAAGTAAAAAATAAAGTAAGAAATAAAGTAAGAAATAAAGTAAGAATAAGGTAAGTGTAAATGTATTATCAAAATTTTAAAATCTTAAAGGAACAACAATGAAAAAAATAAATACCTTATACTGAAATTAGAAATGAAAAAAAGCAACTTTCTTCGTTTTAACTTCCTTGTGTTAAAATAACATAATGTGGGGGTGATTGGGTTAATCTAACGTAATATTCTATGCAGTATTGTTTGTATCTTTGAGTGATGCCAGTCTTTGAGTGATACCAGATAAGGAATATTTGTTATAATAGATGATGGCTTAGCGTTATATTTTGTAAAACAATGGATAAAAACATAATGTTGTGATAAAAAAAAAACATAATAATAAATAATAAATAAATAATCTATCGTTATATATTGTTATTTATATAAAGAAAAGCGTAAAATTGAATTCTTTTTCAAATTATTTTAATTATTTTAAATGAACGTTAACTGGTGCGCTTTGAAATTAATTATCAAAATTGGTAAAAGCTATAAAATTTTTTTAGCATTATATAGAATATTCGTAATATAGATAAATCTTCTATACAATATAAATGAAACATCTACGTTATATCTGATAATATTTTATATTATACCCAAGATTGTTTTTAACTTTTTAATTCTGAAACATCTGCGCTGACTTTTTTATTACTAATTCTTTAGCCATTACTTTAAATCTTTGAACCTCCAATCTTAAGCTCATTATTGGGGTCAGTATGAGCAATAACAACGAATTTAGTGTGTCTACCTTGTGCTATTAATTTTCCATTATCTTTATTGTGCATTTCTACAGTGGTAAACGCAAGTGTTTTACCAAGCTTTACACATTCTGCATTCTAAGAATAATATAACGATGATAATAGATTATTAATTAAACCGTTACACGAAAGATTTTCTCAGGAGGAAATAAATTTTATTTACCATAAGTAAAATATCTCCATTCTCCGCTGATCCAACATATGAAACATTTAGATCAGTACTAACTCCTGTGTGATGCATTCCTTTAGATGCTATAGCTAGCGACCCACAAACATCCACTAACGATGCTATCACTCCTCCATGAAGTGATTCTAAACGATTCTATTGTTTTTTTTTTTTATTGTTAAATAGTTTTAATAATAAAATTAATATTCCACTTATTTAACCTTTAAAAGCTTTAAAATAAAAAGCTTAATATTACCAGATGATGTGCTTGAATAAGCATTTCGGCGCTAATTTTACCATCTGTTGCGTTTGTTATTGTCATCTATGAATTTTTTTTTAAAAAAGGTCGAATTAATGTATATTTATTAATTATGTAATTGTGTAATTCATTTTTTATTCATAATATATTGATCAGAAAAAAAAAGAAATACTAAACATCTTTCAGAAAAAGACAATCAAAAGTTGTTCCATTCGAAAGAAATCTTTGAAATACTTGGCGAACCCAATTTGTCTTACTAATTCCTGTTGACGCCATATGAAAGGTCTGCAAATAATTTAAAATAAACTTCTTTTTTATCGTGTTACAGAAATTTCGAAATATATAAACGTTGTTATAAGTCACATGATGCTGCAATCGACAACAGAAGTTCACTTACACAATGCTGCAGTTCAATCTATTTTGTCTATGATGTTCTAAAATACAAATATATAGCTTGGTTACGTACATAAAACAAATTTATATTATATTTATATGTGTAAAACATAGTTCATATTCTATGTATATATATCTAATACGTATGTATATTTTACTAACACGTGATAGTATAATGTAAAATATATATAATCAACCATTACTTTAACGTCGAGAAATATTATTATATCATTTGCTCTCAGTATTTTTGTGATCCTTAGGGTTTTCTTCTGAATCAGTTTGAAATGCATCTAAGCAACCATATTGAAAAATCATTTTCATCTTTCATTTTCAGATTTTGTATTCGGATTTTGAAAATTGCGACGTAGAGCTCTTTTCTTCTGAGCTTTCAATAGGACATTCTTCTGAGCTTTTAATAGGACATTCTTCTGAACTTTTAATAGAACAATCCAATTTCTCGATTTCAACATCATCATGACAATGTTCTTTGTGCAGCAGACGTATCTGTTTTTGTGAACCTCTCAAACCATTCTCGTTTTCCATTGTCATCGTATTTCCATTCGCACAAAGTTCTTCTAATTCACTTACATCTAGAACGTCATCCAATCCTTTAGATTTCAATACTATATAAACAACATGAGGCATTTGTTTTATCAATTCTTCAAGTGCCATTTCTGCTACCAGCTCTTTTGCCAAGATACACGTTTCTTTAAAGCCACCAAAAGATCTTTTTAGAATTGGTACACGTAATAAAACAACATATATAGAGTTTCTTAACGAAGATCGTAACTCGTATTTCGCATTAAGATATTTCATGATCGCGTCAAAAATGCTAAAGAGAAAGAGCTCAGGTGTAAATTCTTTAGAATAAATTGATTGAGAAGTAATTGATTGAGAAGTTTCAGATCCTGGTAACATCACATTTGAGCTTTCTTGTGATAAATCTGGTTTATCATCTTGTTCGTAATGTTGTTGAAAGCTTGTTAACGCATTTGGATGTTGTCCAAGCCATGATACTTGTTTCTCTGTGACTCGCTGTTCATATTGTGGTTCATTTTTTCGCATTGACCCTGACATATTGGAGATTGCTCTTGTCCAATACTCATTATTCCTATTATTAATGAGGCAGTACATAAATATAAAAAGATAATATATACATATACGCGTATATAAAAATATAATGTCGTTTTATTTTATTATTTTTTTTTAGTAATCAGAAATTATAATTGAAAACTGATTGAATAAAGACCTTGGAGAATTCCTAGAATTTCCCTCAGAATGCATAGCGGATAAAGATGTGTATAAAGCTCTTTCATTGCCATTATTATGCTGAAGAAGTCTTGAGCTATTGGTTTCACGTGACTCTGAAATGTTGCTTTCTTGTAATTGTACAGATGTAAACGGTGCGTCAAGACCATTATCTTCGATAAAAGGGTTATCATCATTAGTAACAGTAATGTTAATATCATAATCCACAGCGAAAGAATATCGAGAAGTAGAACGATTTGAAGTTCCTGACGCGGAATGCATGGTAGTGGGTGATAATGTTAAAGCAAATTGATGGGAAGTTTCAGAATAAACGTTATTAATATCAATTAAATGATCATGATCTTCAGGTCTAACAGTTTCTATCGTATCGTCGTTACTCTCAACGGGAGGAAATGTATAGTTACGAAAATATAAGGGAGGTGAAGGTGGGGATGAAGGAGGTAAAAGTCTGGAGTCACGTATTCTTATGAAAAATGACGATCTTGGTAATATAAAATCCTCAAAATTTTTTGGAGGTGCCATTTTATCCTAATTTTATATCAATGACCAATAAATTTTCAGAGAAGGTTAACAAAAAAAAAAGATTTTATTATGATCTTAAACTTTATACGAAAATAACAGATGAATGATGCAAAAAAGAATATGAGTAAGTTATTTATAAGCCGAGCTTGAGCGAAAAGATTGATTTCACTTATATATATTTACGATTTATTAAATTATTGAGGGATTTCAAAAAATGTAATGATTACAGGTATGATAATTACTATAATTACTTACGTGTATGTACAATATTCATCATATTATGAAAGGGTATATCTGTATATCTATTTATTCATTTTATTGTATCTTTTATTTATTTATTTTTTATTGTTTATATATCTGTATATACAGTATTTATTTATTTATATTTTATTATTTATTTATCTATATATTGTTATTAATCAAATCTGACGTATGTACGTACTTGTAATTGTCATACCTCTCAGTGTATATGATATAATAATGCGTCTTTCGTAAACTATCCCCATGAATAATAAATTATTATTGTAATGTTTTGTAACGTTTTTGTAACGTTTAGAAATCATTATATTCTAGAAATTATATATTTACTATTTGAAGCTTCTCACGAGTTCAGATAATTAAAATACTATGTTGGAAATTGAATATATTTATGAAACAATAATCATAAGTTTTGCAGCTTCAAAACAGTTATTTCTCAACGCTCTATGCTTGTAAAAAGCATGCATATTTTTTTTTTAAATATCACAAATTAATAGCCTAAATGCGCGTTATCCCATTAATTGAAATAAAGAAATATCGGATGATGTTAAATAATACTTTTAAATAAGTTACTATATACAGTAATTAATTAATAAGGGTCTAAAATAAAATATTTAAAGGTCTTTGTTTTATCATCTTTGTAAAAAAAAAACGTTACGCCTAAGACATCAGTTATAACTTAAAGATGTAGATTTGGTTTCAATGGTCACACTTGCATACAACGAATTTCTTTATTAATTACCCATGCTGCAGAATTTAAAAACACTGATTATATTTAAAAAAATGTTTTTTTTTGATTAATAATTTATTAATTAAATTAAATAGTAAACTCTAATTACAGCATAATTTACCAAACCTCATTAGACAGAATTATAATCACATTTGCATTATACTGTAATTTTTAAGATTTTTGTATGCTGCATCGGTATAAAACACGTACGTACGTATAAAATCTAAATTGCACAAGCTACATGATAGTATAGATTAATCACGCAACCAAAATTCCGTAGCCCGACCAAAATTTAATGTCGAGCTATGTCGGAATTAAGCATTAATACCAGCCGATTTACAGCCGACTATATTAGCATCCGGACAACTTTACTTACATAGTAAAGCTTTATTAGTAAAAATTTTAAGTGATTCTAAAAAAATTTTATCGCCTATTCCTGAATTTTGGTGTGACTAATATATTAGGCAATCCCAAAATTCCGGGTCGGAATCTGGGCCTGAATACCTCGGTATCATGATCGGAAGGACCAGAATTAACCAGTATGGTCAACATTGGTCAAGTTGGTCAAATAGTCTAGTTATAAGAATAAATTGATCAATTAGGCCAATTTAACTATAATCAAATTTGTTTAATTGGTCTGATTTGTTAATTTGGTTCATATTGCTAGACCATTTGACCAGACAAGTTTGACAGAAACCCTTTGACCAATGACCAGCCAATTTATAGTCAACTACTAATTTAACCAACACTGTGGACTCAAGGACATTAATTTACACGTAATTATACGCGTTTCTTAGGGAAAGCCTAAAAAAAATCAGAAGGAAGGTAGATAGATGCAACACCTTTACAAGCGTTTCCTGCGAGTTTCGACCCACAATTCCTTTTAGAATCAAAAAATATTACCCTTGCCCCGATAGTACGCGTTGTTTCTCAAAAAACCGTCGACAAACATTGGAAGCCTTTAAGCGAAAATTCTAGACAAAACTTTCGTGAAATTTTAAACAGTACAATTCCGTAAGATTCGTTTTAATAGTACTTTCGCCATGTTGGCTTACTATTTTTCTAATTGTAACCGTGTCAAGAATTGACAAAAAGCTAGAGACGCTTCCAGTACCCAAATACTCGAAGAAAGCAAGTTTCGACTACGGCAAGATTCATTCTCAAAATGTATGAACTTTTTTCACATGAAAATCCAGCTTTATTAAAAGGTCATTTAATAGAATAGCATGCATTGGAGATGGCGTTAGCAAATAGGTCAAATGGAAATTAAACTAGAACACATCAACATAGAGATTCTACCATTTTATAATTTATATTATAAGTATTCTCGATTTTTCAAATAAGGACGAGTAATTGTCATATTCAGTATTATTTATTTATTTGTTTTACAAGGCTCCTGGAAGATGACACAAAAATATTAACAAAGCGATAAAAAAGCAGTTGAAACTAGAAATACCGAAATCGTGTTATTTGTGTTACGTCTCGAATTAAACTTAATTGAGCACAAGAAATAACGTTCATGCATTATTTATGTCAGATATATTAGATTCATTATCTTTTGTTGTCAATTACATTAGCTTCACCCGCTTTTAAAGAATGAATTTAGAGACATCGAAGTAGATGATGAATTAATTAAAGGGATTAAAAGATCGATCATCGTCCCTTTGGGATGTGAGTACTTCTGACACTTTTATATTATCTCGTCAAAGTTTTTAACAATTTGAGTTTATGATCTTCTTAATATGTCTAGCCCGAAGAAAATCATGAACTTTGTGAAATCAAAAGGTAAATTTCTTCTCATTTACGGTCGATTGAAAAAGATACAAAGGTGATGGATAATATAGTAAGTAAAGTCGAGGCAGAAAAAATTTTGATACAACTTATGATGAAAGCTAATGATGGTAAATTAGTAAATAAATAATCGATCATTTGATTTGTTTCATTAAATAGTCATGTCTCACATTTGTATTATATTCACTACACGTTATACGTGTGACTTGTGTGCTTATAAATTTAAAAGAAAATAACTTTTCTGCTCAGACTAATTCTATGCACAAAATCATTTACTACATTGTTGATAATTAAAAGATTATTGCTTAATTGCTGCCTTTCCTTCTAGTGTTAGTAAAGTAGCAAGATAAAGGGTTGCTTGTCGTTAATAGTAGAAATAGCTACCTTTGATTTTGTGCGCTTTAATAAAAAGACCGACATACTGTATAACTTACGCTTTTCTCTCGCTTTAACCATTCAATACTTTACGATTCATGCCAGGCTCTCCTGGAATCGTAAAACCACTTAATAATTACGATTCAAGCTAAACTCATTAAGCTCTCCTGGAATAGTAACAGACGCGGAAAATCCGAAGCTGCATCTGCACTTCAGAATACGTAAAATATCTATTGTAATTCGATCGATCAAAAAAATTTTTACTAATCGCCATCTCTAAAGAAGGCAAGCTTAGAAGTTTATCGACATGAAATGATTATGTGACTAGTCGAAATTATGCGATTAAAAATAGAATTGATTTTATCTGTGGAAATGGTAATGTAAATTTTCTACATTCGGATAATAAATTAATAAATTTTTAATATACTCATAATTCGTAATTCAGAATCACTAATTAAAAATGTGATTGGGGTTATTAAAGTGTAAGAATTTATATTATACATTAAACTGAATACTTAATAACTTCTGTTTAAACAGAATTAACCGAATTAACAATTCTAAATTGCTCATAGTTCCGGGCAGAATTATGTTGGTCGTGGGCCGGAAATATTTTAATGCCGGCCAAATTAAACGGTTAAAACGATTAAGAAAAATTTTAGGCGGTTCCAATCCCTAGTGTACTCAAAATTTAAAGTTGGATACACTGAACTTTTTTTACGTTTCTTAATAACGATAAACCTCAAGGATTACTATATATCGACATGTTCAATATCAATATCCGGATATTCATTTGTCGTAATGTTCAGTATTTCATCTTTTTTCGAAAGTAAATCAGTTTCACTACCTTTCATCGGTACAATTTTTATCCACATATATATGCATTTGCTTAAAAGAATCGTTAACGAAGTGAGGATTATCGTGTGATTGTCCGGCATTAATTATGTAAGTACCCTTATGTTAGAGTGTCCAGAATTATGATCCGGTCATTGTCAAATTTTGCGTGAGGCAAACTTAAAATTATGCGAACCTAGGGATTAGGCTTAAAAAAATTTTCAGTTGACGAATCAAATTTCAATATTAGGAAGAAAATTTCTTTGTAAAATAATATCTTCGGACCCTAACCAAATAGCAAGATCCTGTCCCTAACCTAAATACACGAAATTTTTATTAGAAATATTGTGTAGTAATTCTATATATGGGAACTCCTACAGCAAAAGAAGGCAGTGGGCAAAAAATTTGATTTTGTAATTTTATAAAAATTGTGTTTCTGATACTTTAATCCTTTAAGTAATTGTTTTTGCTCACTGCTTTCTTTTGCTATGTAATTCCAATTGGCCAATAAAAATTTCTTCAAACGTATGCTAATTTCTTTAAATTAATTATTTAAAAATTACAAATATTTTTAACTTATATACCGATACTATATATGGGGATTAGAGTTATGCCGAATTCGATATTGTGCTGAATTATTGATAAAATATAGCGAATTGAATTGTCACGAACTATAATGCATTAAACTAAGTCTCAAGCCTGGGTGTTTCTTTAAAATATTTTTGCTTAAACTTCGATTTAATAAATCCAAATAAGTTTATTTAAACTCAAATTAGATTCCAATGAATCCAATCTTGAACTCAAATTGGGTTTACTTGAATCTAGAGTGGGTTCAAATAAGTCTAAATAGAATTATTTGAATCTAAATTAAATTTAAATGAACTTAAATTAGGCTTAAATAAACCCAAATTGAGTTCAAATAAACCAAATTTGGTTTATGTAAATTCAATTGGGTTTAAATAAATCTAAATTAAACTTAAATAAATTTAAATTGAGTTTATTTAAAAGTAGAATA